TCCTCCCCCTTCACCTTCCCTCCTCCCCCCTCAGGGGCAGGATCATGAATAACATCCTGAGGGCTGCACACAGTGAGCGTGGAAGGGGAGGACTGATTTTGTGGGAAGTGAGATGTTTTAGTGAGCAGGAAGCTAGCAGTTTAATGAAGGAGATCTCCTGATTCCAGAATCGTCACAAGATGCTGAGCGTGGAACCGATGAATGAACTGCTCGAGAAGAAGTGGGAGGATTTTGGGGCATACCTGTTCCTTGGCAGCTTTGTGATCTATCTGACATACATCATCACACTGACCATCGTAGCCTCTAACAGACTGGAGAGAAACAATTCCCTAGACCACGAGCAATGCTCCCATCACATTGGATTCTTGGTATGGCCCAACCACTTCATACTGGTGCATATGCTTCAGCCGAGCCTCACCCTATCTTTCTGTTCCAAATCTATCATTGTGAGGCTCTTCTCCCTCACGTTCTTGTCTAGTTTCCCCGGAGATGCATCTATACTGCTCGCTTTAACCACTTCTTGCCCAAGTCTTGCTAACCCTGCGCAGGGTGCTTATAGTCAGACCATATGTGGGCTGTGAACAGTTTTATCCCCTTACCTAAGAAAATAAATATGGGAGGCAGTCCAGAGAAGGTTAACTTGGCTGATACCAGATATAGAGGTACTGTCTTATGAGGAGAGGTTAACATAGAAACATAGAAGATAGCAGCAGGAGGAGGCCATTCGGCCCTTCGAGCCTGTCCTCCATTCTTCACAATCATGGCTGATCGTCCAACTCAACAGCCTAATCCTGCTTTCTCCCCATAACCTTTAATCCCATTCGCCCCAAGTGCTGTATCTAGCCGCCTCTCGAATACATTCAATGTTTTGGCATCAACTACTTCCTGTGGTAATGAATTCCACAGACTCACCACTCTCTGGGTGAAGAAATGTCTCCTCATCTCCATCCTAAATCATCTACCCCCAATCCTCATACTGTGACCCCTGGTTCTGGACACACCCACCATC